TGCAAGACAGATGAATGGATGCAAACATGCGAGCATAAGGATGCTAATTGAAACATGCCCTAAAACTAACCATCGTAAGTTGGTAAATAAAAGGGAGAAAGAAATGGGGGTTGGAAGACATGCATCACACACACGCACACTTATTTACAACAGTTATGCCTTCTCGACGGAGGGTCCGAATGAATAATACAGAACCAACTAGCTAATCTTATCACACAACAGAATGAATAACAAGCTACAACTAATTATTACACAACTCTAACTAATTAACAAATTAACTAAGTAGCAATTGAATAAGCATGTAAACTATATGAAATAGGCTGCATCAACTCTGCCTTGGATGACGAAGGATGTGTGCCCGGTCACCTTGTGTGAAAATCCATCGCGATGCCCCGATTTGCCTCTGTTTGCAACTGGTCTTAGAACACTGCAAAAAAAAGCTCCAGAAGGCTGAAACTCCATCATGGGAATCTGTAGGAGGGCTGCGGACCAGTTGTTGGCATTGGAGGCCACCTGCCAACCACTTTCCATGCTGAAAACCAGAAAAAGTGGTCGGCCAGCCACTTTATTTGGTCGGCAGACCAGTTTCTGCTGCCAAACTCCAGTTTGCTGCAATAGAGAGCAAGAAAGGGGCATGCAAAGTATTTGCAACACATGTATGCATAACCACCCTCCCTCTCATTACATAAGCTCAAGGGGGTGTGGTTCTCAACCCTCGGGCCACCAATCACGCATCTCGATGCATGATGGCCGAGGAGCCAAATTGCACAACTCAATATGAAATGAATGCACACACGAACACATAAAGCCTAAAACTCCATCATGTATAGTCAAGAGTGTCGGCGATCGAGAAATGAGGCACGTTTCATCGCTTCGAGTATGAAACATCCCTCGTTTCCCGTGTTTGGACTAACTCCTATTCCAAACACAATGCAACAAACAACATGGCATGGCATATTCATTGTGGCTCAAGCATGCAAACATTCAATGCAATGAAACAAGCATATGAACACGATGCAAGGGACAAACATGAAAACATGCAACGAACATACTAGCATACACAATGCTATGAACTACATGGCATACACAATGCACAATGGACTTAAATCAAAATGGATAGGCCTTAGCCATGTCCAAATCAGTGGCCATACATGCTACGATAGAAACTCAAGATGCTATGCAAACATGCATGCATATCGGCCCAAGCTTAAGGCTCAAAACACAACTCTCCAAAAGCATTGAAAGGATGAAACATGGGGTACAATGACATATGTTCCAGCACTGAAATGGCATGCAAAATGACTTAGAATCATACCAACAACCCATGTAATGCATGTTGAAAGGCTCAAGCATCAAAGTTAGTGAAGTGTATTACACTAGAGGCATGCAAGATAACGCTCAAATAGCCAAACTAACCCCAAACAAACCCTATGCAGGCCAAAAAAAGTAGCAAAAATGAGTTGGGATGATGGCTTAAAAGGCACGAAAATGAGGCTCATGCAATGGCTCACAAACAGGGCATAAAAGCACAACCCTTAAGAGCACTTAAAGAGTGGAAAATATGGAAGTGCAACAGCCCTACATGCTCTGAAATATCATTCTCAATGATGCCAAAACATGCAGATACCTCGAGTTAAGCCTGCAAGAGACCTCAAAACTCAAAGCTAGTCAAGGCTATTACATTACAAGCATGCATGAAAAGCCTCATCCGACCAAGAAGCCTCAAAACAGAGCTAAGATAGCCCAAAATAAGAACAAAATCATGCTAGAGCATAGCCAAAATATGCTAGGATAATGAGCCAAAACATCATCCATACAAAGCTAGTAAACAAGATTCACACTACAAGCATATGGAGCATGTGAGAGACTACCAAACCAGCCAAAAGTAGAGTCATGACATGTCAAATGATGGCCAAAAATCTACTGAAATGGAGCCAATACATGCTAGAAGGACATGCTATTTTGATGAGCCACAAATGGGAATACACTACACATACAAGAAGCAAACACAAGGTGGCCAAACCAACCATAGACAGAGCTAAGGCAGGCCCTAAAAGTCATGAAAAATTGCCTAAACCAAGCCTTGAAAGTATAAAGATGCATGCTCCTTTGATAGGCTAAAAATGCAAGCAAACAAAACAAGAAGGGAGGGGATCACCCCCCTCTGATTTGATGCCTCAAAACCACATGCCTACTGCTGAAAATCGACTAGATTTTAGTGGCTAGAAGGCCAAGCAAGGACTAGCTCAAAGGCCTTAAACCATGGCACAAAATAAGGCCAAACAAGGCATGCAAGAGGGTAGAAGACCCTCAACACCCAAGAGGCATTAAACAAACATCAAAAACACTTGAATACAAAACTTTTTCCAGTTGAAAGAAAGGCCTAAATAAGCATGCAAATGAGACCAAGAGAGCAACCAAAATAAAGCTTAAAAGGGAGAAAAGAGGTTACCCTTGAAGCACTGCAAAACCAACAAATTTCTCAGCCAAGAATTAGCTTTTTTAACCTCCAAAAATGTCCTCTAAGAATCTCAGTTCAATGATATGGGTGTATGGTTAAGGGTTGTGGTGCAAAAGTGAAGAACAACACACTCTTTAGGCACCAAATATAGAGATATAGAGAGAGATATATGCTTATGCCTTAGGAAAATTTTTAGAACCTCTCCCATGGAGAGGGAGAGCCTCTCTTATAGAAAAACAAAGGTTCAAGCTTCTTGGAGAAGCTAAAACTTGGATGCCATCCCTCCATACACATGTATGGAGGATACAGTCTGTGCCCTCCAGCTGGCACAGCTAGCATCCACACAGTCTGCCAAAACAGGGGGAGAGCTGCCGACCACTTAAAGTGGTTGGCCTGCTACTTACAGTGGTCGGCCGACCACTTCAAGTGGTCTCCCAGGAAAAAAAGTGGTCGGCAGGGGGAATTGGTGGTCTCCACACTGAAAGTAAGCCAATGGTGGAGTGGGAGACCAGAAAAGGTGGCCCAAAGACCAAGAAAACCAGTTTCTCGACCAGAAAATCAACTGGTGGGAAGGAAAGTGGTCTCCAAGGGAAAAAACAGGTCTCCCACCCTCGTACCACCTTCCAAGCAAGGAAAACAAGGTTTGTACCACAAACAAACCAACACGGATGCAAAACGAGAGTTCGGGAGGCAAAGCGCGCAACCGGGAGCCTCGAAACCCAGTTGTTGAGCACCAAAAGTGGTCTCCCGGACTACAGTGTCCTTCTAGATAGAGGAAACATGGTGTGGTTCAAAAACCATGCCAAACGGAGAACGTTAAGCGGTCCCAAGACAAGGTGCACGGCCGAAGGCTCCGAAAATTAAAAATTGATCTCCAAACGGGAAAAAGTGGTCTACGACCACAAAGAGATGGTCTACAAGACCTCTCCCTCCCTCCGGGAAGAGAAAACAAGGTTCGGTCTACAAACCGAGCCAAAGCACAAAGAGTTTAGAGACCCGGAGGTAAGGCTCTCAGCCAAAACTTCAAAGCTCGAAACGAGCACAACATGCACTATCACCGAGTGCTCAATCGATGACGTCTGAGTTTTAAGGTCGGTCAAAAATGGGGTGTCTGCAGTTACCCCTCTTTGATAGAACTCGAAAGTCATAAGTGATGGGAGTGAATGTCAAAGCCCAGAGACGACTCATTTTTGACAAGGTCGAAGACTTAGACAAATAGGCGAGATAACATAGAGACGTGCCCGCAGGCAGGGGCAAAATGCAAAAGACATGCACAATGCCGGACGTAACTTATGATCATGCAAAGAAAGCTGTAATGAAATAATTATACACAATAAATGCGACAGTTTAAGCGAACGAATACAAATCGAACTACATTACATGTAGAAAGAATGTAAGAGAATTATACAATTCTCGCTACGTCTCACACGGAGAATACAATACCGTCCGGTTCGTCTGGTCGCACCAACTTCAAATGAACCGTAGATACAATATCGCGCCTGCAAAAAAAAGAATCTTAATAGGTACAATATCGTTAGAGACATGCATGGCAATGCAAGTGAAAAGTGCGTAACAACGCATGCAAAGTGTGGGTGCATGGCAATGCAATCTAAGCGTGACGCATAATAATGCGAAAAGGGGTGCATAACAATGCAACCTAAGTGTGACGCATAACAATGCGGTAAAGGGACGCATAATGATGCGACGAGACGTGCATAACAACACGCTTAAAGTGTGCATAACAAATGCAAGAGAGGAAAGGGTGCATGACAATGCGAGAGAAGCGCAACTTCAATAGTATGTTCGAAACAAAATGCCGAATAAGGAAATACAAGCCTTAATGCAAGCGATTTAACCGGAACCTCCGATTTACCTCGCCGAGGGGTCACAACGTATTCAAAACGGATACACCTTCCTCCTGATGAGTAACGATGAGCCATGCATCGAAGAGTTGAATTTGAAGTTCCCGCCCTGCGGAGACAATTTCGTGCCGAAAAGTATACTTTTCTTGTACTTTCTCGAGAGCCAAGGACTCCAATCACCACCAAAATACACAGGGAGAACAATGGAGCTCTGAAGATCAACTAGGAGGGTGACTGACCAGTTATATCAATGGACGACCAGTTGTTGCCTAGAAAAACTGGCCAGAAAAACTGGCTGGCCGACCTGTTTACCAAATTTGGGGCAGTTTTGTCTTTTCATGCTCGGTTCTTTAAGTACACCACTCCAAATCAGTTTTGCTCACACCTCTAGGGCTGAAATATATCCCTCTTCCTTTCTAGATCATTTTCTCCCTTAGATCTGTACTTTATATGCGTTTTCCAACGCCCCACGCGAAGTTGTTTCACGAAAACTTTCGATTCTCTTCGTTTTGAACCGATTAAAATTCGATTTCGGAGCTTCTTTTTCCATTTTCACCACTTGAGGTATGTTTGTCTCGAAGTTTGGCACCTTTTCTCGGGCGTTGACTTTTGTTGACTTTTGCTCTTCCCAAGAGTTGACTTTTTGTAATTCTGGCTAATTTTGCTCATTTTTGAAGATTTCTTCGGATGACGGATCACTTTCATCATGATGGAGGTTCTCCACACGCCGAGGACGAGCCAGACGTTATGTCATTGCCTCCGAGGATACGACTGTTTGATCCTACAGCATACCACCCGGAGGAGCACATTTTTCCTCCGAACACCTTCTATCACTTTACCGACTTCGCGCGGCGAGCACCCGTGGACCTACTGCTATGGGAGCCAGAGTCTTACCTATCTCACCAGGCGCGAGAGGTACGTACTTCACTTTTACATTCTCTGTAATGCATTCTGCATTTCCTACACATTTCATGTTTTCGTTATGTATTTTATCTGCTCGTTCTGGACACATTCATATGCACAGTACTTCTGCTTATCCTGGCATACAGCTCACACATAGCACAATACTGATTTGACACGCAACTTTTTTAGGATATGATGCTGACTTAACACACAGCTCACAGCACAATATTCTGTTAATTTGGCACACAACTCACTCTGAAGACACAGTTCGTCCTGACCACACAGTTTATTTCGGGCACACAGCATATTTCCGGGCACACAGCTCAGTCTTGGTGCACACAGCTCACTTTCCGGGCACAGTGCTCATTCTTTGGGCACGCAGCTCACTTTCCGGGCACACAGCTCACTCTCGGGCACACAGCTCACTTTCCGGGCACACAGCTCATTCTTTGGGCACGCAGCTCACTTTTTGGGCACACAGCTCATTCTCCGGGCACGCAGCTCACTTTTCGGGCACACAACTCATTCTTTGGGCACGCAGCTCACTTTCCAGGCACACAGCTCATTCTCGGGTACACAACTCATTTTCCAGGCACACAGCTCATTCTCGGGCACACAGTTCACTTTTCGGGCACACAGCTCATTCTTTGGGCACGCAACTCACTTTCCAGGCACACAGCTCATTCTCGGGCACACAGCTCACTTTCCGGGCACACAGCTCATTCTTTGGGCACCCAGCTCACTTTTCAGGCACACAGCTCATTCTCGGGCACACAGCTCACTTTCCGGGCACACAGCTCATTCTTTGGGCACGCAGCTCACTTTCCCGGCACGCAGCTCATTCTTTGGGCACGCAGCTCACTTTCCGGGCACAAAGCTCATTCTTTGGGCACGCAGCTCACTTTTCAGGCACACAACTTATTCTTTGGGCACACAGCTCACTTTTCGGGTACACAGCTCAGTGTTTTTTTTTTTCATTCTGAACACGTAGCTCACACATTTCAATTCTGAACACGCAGCTCACACATTTCAATTCTGAACACGCAACTCATTCACTTCATTTGCACGTAGCTCATACTGAGCGCACAGTTCATAACACAGTATTTGATTTAATTTTGCACGCAACTCATACTTTTCATTTTAAAACTGAATACATCTGTTCGTTCTGGACACAGGTATCTTCCTGTTCCACATGGGGTTATGGATCGATCATTGCCAGGGAGTGGTATATGGAGCTCCCAGATACTGTTCGCCATATCATGGATGAGGCAGGATTTGGACCTTTCTGCGCGGGCTTATCACGTCATCCGGCGAGTAGGACCCTCATGGGGGCAATTGTGGAGAGATGGTGGGACACCACCAACTCGTTCCATTTTCAGCTACTAGGGGCATGACGATGACCCCATATGACTTCTCCATGCTGATGGGCCTTGACGTGGCTGGCCGACCGATCCCCTACGATGCAGATATGGATGAGTAGGAGGCCGCTTGGATTTATCTGCTGGGAGCCCGCCCGCCGATAGACAGATCATCAGGTAGGGTCAGGTACACCTAGTTTTCTGAGCGGTTAAGGAGGACTTTGCCCGAGACCATCGAGGCCATACAGCAGTATGCTCGGGGATTCTTGATGTTCCTCCTCGGGACCACTCTATTCTTCGATAGGGGGAACACAGTTGGACTTTATCTGCTCAATGCTTTGGTAGACCTATCACAGGTCAGTCAGTATGATTGGGGTGGCGCTGGCCTCGCTTGCTATATGAGCGCAACGTCCCGCGAGCGGAGGAACATAGTAGGCGGCTACTGGCGAACCTAGGAGGTATGTTCTGCCCTCTTTGATTTACATTTCTACTTTTCATTACCTGTACACTACACATGGCACGCATTACATTTGGTATTCTACATTCTGCATTCAGCATTCTGTGCCCCCTATATATTCTGTATACTGACAGCTACTGTCCTATCTTTCACAGCTATGGGTTTATGCCTACTTCCCGACGCTGGCCCCTGAGCTGGAGATTGATGTGCCTCTTGAGATGCCCTACTCTCACAGATTTGAGGGTCGGTGCCGGCCGAGGCCTCGGGAGACTACTATACCTCTGGCAGTTTTTCGACATTGTACGGGTGACAGAGGTAATCAAGAACTTTCAGTTCTTCATGCTTTCAGCTTTGATTCATCTTACATATTTATGACATCTAATCCGTTTATGCACTTGTCATCCCCAGATTACTTGGCAGCCATGGGCACCCTTGTCAGGAGATGCCCAGTTTCGGTTCCCTGGGGCGTGGGCTGCTTCTCGATACAGGGTTTTATTTGAGCGGCCAGCTGGCAGGCCCTAGTTTCTAGGGGATCGCTTCTTGCGTCAGACGATGGGCAACCCTACTCAGGATATCCCCTCAGCACCTCCAGAGGACATGCGGTCCACTGAGAGACTCACTTTCTAGGAGGTCGAGGTCCTTATGTTGGGTACTGATGCAGTTCTGTTGCTGGAGGAGGGGGAGTACGCGACCTACCGCCATATGTACTTAATGCCCCCATTGACAGGTGTCCGTACCCCTACGAGGAGAGCTGCTGACGTTCCATCATCGAGTCGCGCTCGAGCTACAGACATCCCTTCCACTAGCAGGGCTAGCACATCGAGGGGCAGCGCTAGAGGGATGCCCTCGATTTGCCAGTATGCTGGGTGGCTGGATCTCCCGACCGAGCTGACATGCTGGGAGTATGGGGCGTCTTACCAGATTCCCCTAGAGCCTCCATTGCCCAATCATTGATATGTTAGTGACCTTGACTCACCACCTGTATGCTTTACAGTTTTGATTTATCACTCAGATATTTAGACATCCATTCCTTCACTGATGACTTGCACTTGTATCTACAGCCTTCCAGAGAGTATACTGAGGGGCTACTCGAAGTGGTGGCCTCACTCGAGAGCATGGTCCTGCGGAGGGAGACGCTGCTGTTCGCCTCCGGTGTCTCAGTACTTTTCAATTTCCTTGCATTTATCATACTTCTGATGACATACTGAAATTGAACATTTCACTACATTGATTGACTGCATGTGTAGAGCACATCTGACACACCACATTCACATAATGTATCTGCATGCACATACTCTATGTAGCATTCTCGTATTTGCATCTGATATACATACTTTGGCTGATGTATTTAAAACGCCTTTTTCAGGTCCCGCCGCTATAGACCAGGCCATCCAGGCCTTCTCGAGGAGTTGGGAGAGGGGGGACTCGACTCGGAGCTGAGGTAGACGTAGAGCGCCTATCAGAGATGACGAGGAGTCTAGCGAGGAGGAGGAGTCTGTGCATCCTTAGTTAGAGACATCCGCAGGCAGAGAGAATGACTCTGGTTCCAGTTCTGAGAGCGGAGGTGATGCCGAGGAGGATTCCGAGGACGGCGGCTCCGATTCGGATGGTGGTGCTAGTGGAGGTGGTGTAGAGGCTGCTCAGCCGAAGAGGATGAAAAGAGCCTCCCGATCTTGAGCCCGACAGCACTGATGCAGAAGTTCCTGCTTTATTTTCCTTTTTACATGTAGTTGTAGCTCATTGTACAGCGTTAGGCAGTTTTATTTTCTTTAAAACATGTACCATGTAGTAAAATGTTGTAAAAGGAAGCTATGATGGAATGAAACAGCTTTTTATTCAAAAACTGTTGTATTTTGTATTCTTAGCATCGCATCGCATCATTTTGCACAAAAAGAGATTGAATGGAAATTGAGCATTGTACATTGCCAAGTCAGGTAATGAGCCAACATAGCAAATTAAACAGCTTAACTCACTAAGAAACAACAAGACCTTAGTAAGTTTACAACTTAAGCAAATCTTGACAACTTGATAAACAAAGAGTAACAACTCGATAAACAAAGAACAACAACTCGATAAGCAAATGCATTTTGAACAAACGAAGTGACGGGACGCACCCGAAACAAAGGTAAACTCGGACCTTTAACATTCCCAAAACATGGAAAGGCTAGGAGCTCTCTTCTAGAGGCTAGGAAAAGGCTGAAAACCAGTTTTTCTCCATGGCCGACCACCAAAAGTGGCTAGCCGACCAGTTTTTGTTCTGCAAACCAGTTATATGGCTGGCCGACCAGAAAATCTGGCTGGCTGACCAGAAAAAGTGGTCGGCCGACCAGTTGTCTTGGTGACCTCCAGATTTTTCACACTTGTCCTCCTAATAGTGCCTTATCCTCCATAAAGGTTCCAACTTCGTGGTTCTCTCATTCCATCTCAGTTTTGCATCAAAATTGAGGCATTTCTCATCCAAAATCTCACAACTTGGATTGTTACCTTAGACGGCTTGGAAAAGTTGAACTTCCGGGGCTTCGGCATAAATGCACTATTCACGCTGAGTCGCACCCCGCTGCACTTTCCGTTTCTCCATGCCGCGACAAGGTTTTGGAATCCAGTAACACATGTCTTTAGCTTTGGTGGGCAAGAGATGTGTTCTACCTTCAAAGACTTCCAAGCTTTGATGGAATCCGAGCGCAACGAAGCAATCTTGCCCTAGCTTTGCCTCGGCCACATCCAAGCCTTAGGACGAATGTGTGGGCTCACTATGCATGACGCTCGGTCATTGATTTGTGATGAAATGCTAGACATTCCGAGTTTGATTCGTTGGTTTTCCGATGCAGGTGACCGCGGCGACCATCATTGGCAGGGCTTTCGGCGACATGCGTTTTGCTTGTGCATGCTGTCTCATTTCTTGCTTGCCCCAAGCTCCGGAGGGTTTAGTACTCATTTGATTGAAGTTACCCAAGGCTTAAAAGAGGGCAAGAGCTGCATTGCCATGGCACTGGCTGAGACATTGATGGGCTTGGACGCTTTCCATCGCCGGGAGACGACCAGATTCGCGGCGAGTCCACTACTGCTACAGGTAATGTTTCCCACCCTGTCTCACATATATATTGCTCACATCACTCGGCCCTTAGGCTCGATTTTTCTCTCAAAACCCTTTTATCACTTTTCTCTCATCGTACATCATTCTATTCTTTAATCTCTTATTTTTCGTCCTTCCCCAGGTGTGGTTGATGGACAAGTTAAGAGTGGTGGACTCTTGCCTGGCATACTTAGCTCGCAGCTATTTCTTTCGACGACGTCTAGTCGATGCCCCTGATGAGGGATGGTGGTTCGATTGGATGTGCAATTTGTCCGCAGGCTGTATTGCTTGGCGGTGTCCTTGGCTCAATCTACCGGCGATGAGCTACAGCATGTCCAGGCAGACCGGGATTCAGTTGATCGGCCTGACACACTGTGTGTTCGACTTTCCTTTCCGGTTCTGGCGCCAGTTTGGCCATGATCAGATTTGCCCAGAGGAACGGATAGAGTACCCAACTGCATTTCCTGTTCGAGGCACGCAGCTTGCTCAGTATGCCACAGCATGGAGGACTAGAGAGCTTCTGGCCCCTGCTCCCACTTTCAGTTGCACCCTCTCTGATGAGTGCATAGATTGGCTCAATAAAGAGGCACAGGTGGGGCCTACTTTGGCATAAGAGGCTTCGACCAGCTCTGGGAGGGGGCGCAAGGACACCTGACTTATCTAAGCCTGAATTTATTGCTTTATCAGTACTTTCAAGTTTTCTTCATGAATGTAAGAATAAAAGAAACTTCAATTTGTACTCAAGAGTAGGAGAACTCTATATTGAAATCAATGAAATTGAAGGTTGTGAGTACTGAAAATTTTCCGTTTGGTCCAAAAATGGTCTAAGTCGTAAAAAGATTAATTTGAGCAAAATCAACTTTTATTAAAACTTTTCAAAACCATTTTCGCTATGGATCACAACTGGACACGCTTGAAATTTGTCACTGAGATGCACAACCCCGGATTCCGACAACTGGAAAGTTGCCCCTAGTTTGAATAGCACTGCACTGGAGATCACAATCGAGCTCTTGAACGCAGAATAGACAAAGATGACCAAACATGATCACATGGACAAAGTTGATCGGGGAAGTGATTATGGCTGGACTTCAGGACGAAGTTGCCTACGTATCCCAAACATGGGAATCAAGCCTTACGTAGTTCGGCTCGGGTTCACTCATGTATTAACACTCTCTTTTTGCGCTCTAACTTTTGCCAAGGTAGCCCTTTGCGGGTTTTCAACCTTGCGAGCTCAATTTTTGTTATTTCAAATTTTTTCATGCTCTAACTTTTGCCTAGGTCGCCCTTTCGGGTTTTCGGCCTAGCGAGCCACTCAGGGATAATATTTCTTCAACTTGTCCATGTTGATCGACTGTGAGAACTCTAGGCCATTTAGGTCCATCAAAACGACAGCTCCACCTGACCAGATAGACTTGATGATGTAAGGACCAGTCCAATTGGGTCTGAACTTGCCCCTAGGGTCGTGAATAGGAGCTTGGTTGTCTTTGAGCACTAGATCCCCTTCCT